TACCCATTAAGATACCACTTCATACTCCCTAGTAGGCTAAATTAAAATGACTGACAACATCATTGTTGGTGGAGTTAACTGGAGCTCTCATACAGAATTAAGAGTAGGAGAATAAAGCCATACAATAACTTTGGAGAACAATTTGGGAGTTTCTAGAAAGGTTAAACAAGCATCTGCACTATGATTTAACAATTTTAACTCCTCAGTATTTACCTCCCAAAATAACAACAAATAATTCACACAAATACTTGTACTCAAATGTTCATAGACATTTTATTCATTGTTGTCAAAAGCTGTAAGTAATTAAATGTCCATCAATAAGAGAATGAACAAACAGATTGGGGAACCACTACAGCATAATGCCATTCAGTAATAATACCACTCAGCAACATAAATGAATCTCAAAAACACGTTGAAAAGAAGATACCAGGCACACGATAACACATATTATATGATTTTATGCACATAAATCTCAACAAGCAAAACAAATATATGGTGATACATATGGGAAAGTTGTTGCCTCAGAGTATGTGAGGTGGTAGTTGACCAGAATGAGACACAAAAGGACTTTTTGGAATGATGGAAATGCTCTGTATCTTGCATTTGCATAGGTTATGTGGCCATATGCAACTGTCAAAGTCATTGAACTGAACACTTTATAGCTGTCCATTTTATTACATATAAATTATACTTCATTAAAATATAAATATGTTCTTTGTAAATATGTACCATTTATCAACGGGTAGAAAGACAGTGAAGTTTTATTCGAAGGACAGAAATATTTTAGAACCCTGAACTACCTGTATATTATGGAATCGGAATCAGTAACTCCCCTGGCAAATTAGGTTACAATGGAGACAGGAGCCTTGCAAAAGTCGAAGTCTGACTGAGCCAGCAAGTACAGAGAACCTTGTAGTACACACAAAAGAAAGGAGAAAACAAGGCCAGGTGGACAAAAGCAAAAGTTTAAGACATAAACTTAGTCACTTCACTACAGGTAATGAAAGCTGTTTTTTCATGATTAGTTGGCCACTTAATTATAAAATTTATTCATACATCTGCAATTAGTTATACGTGCTTAATCTAAGTGCTTAAAAAATTTGGATATTTTACCCTCTATATTGACATATTAACATTTGTTTCTCAATTAATCAATTTTGAAGACCCAAATAAAGAATGCTTTTAAAGCACCAGCTGAAGTAAAAATACCATCACATGGGAGTGAAAACGAGGGCAATGTTAACAACATACGTACACTTGAGAAAAGATAGGATCTTTGACTTGGCCTACTTGAATCTCAATTTCTTCATCTTTAAAATGGACGCGGTGATACTTCCCTCAAAGAATTTTTTGGAGATGAAAGAAGAAACCATACATATTAACCACACAGTGCTTGGTATGTACTTAGTGATCAATATCAATTTCTTTTTCCTTACCAGCTGTACTATATCTTCTATGGAAGATAGAGAAGAAGGCCAGCTTATAGAATTTGTATCTCAATAAGTATAATTATGCCTAACCTTTTAAAAGTCAGTGTAGAAAATCAAGCCAAGTCAAAGTATGCTAAATGTAAATTATTTTCTTTTCCATAGAAAAACACACACACATAAAAAACTTAACTAGACACTTCTGTATAGGTAACTGCACTGGAAGTGAACTTCTTTGGACGTAGAACTCACACAGTGCAATACACTTACATCTAATCTTGATAAGGTCACCTTTTCTGAAAGGTACAAATGAAGGGTTGTTAGTAACTGCCAGTAAAAAATATCTTAGGGCATATATCCTTACCTGAGAAAAATGTTCAGTATGGACACAGGACTTTGTCCTATAAACTGAATATCTAATAAGTTGGGGGATACAGCAAACATTTACTCTAACAACAAAAGGAATGAAGCAATTTGCACTCTTGCAAAATACATAGAAATTCACATTTCTACCATGAGCAAAATACATAGAAATTCACATTTCTACCATGAGCAAAACCAATTCTGTGACCTAATCATGTGTTTGCAAATTGATCGCTGTCCTCAACTCCATGTTGAAAGAGCCTTATTCAGTGTAAGAATACTTACAACTGAATACCAAAACACCAGTTTTGGAAAGAAGAGGAAAAAGGCAAAGTTTGTTGGTGACGTTGTTTTCTTATGTAAATGTCACCTTCTTCTGAGTTTTTTCTGTAACATACGAAAGACCCAGATTCTCAGCCTGATTCCCTAGGGCTAAACACTGTAATACCATGCTAAAAATAATTTTGTCTCTGTTGTTTCAGTTTCTAGGAAGTTTAAAATAAAGCATACAACCAGCATACATCCAGAAGACATGAGTTTCACTATTAGAATTTGGCTTCTACTCTTCTTGACAAATTTTAAGCTTTGAAGTCCCCACCCAACAGCTGGATACTAGAGAGCCCATTCTGAGAAAAAAGGTAATTTCCTCATGGTGAGGAAAGTAATAAAAAAGTTCATTCTAATTTTATATTGGGGCTTATTTATTTATTTTGAGAGAGACAGAGAGAAAGAGAGCATGCGTGTGAGTGGAGAAAGGGCAGAAAGAGAAGGAGAGAGAGAATCCCAAACAGGCTCCATGTTCAGCACAGAGCCCAACACAAGGCTTGATCGCACAACCTTGAGGTCACAACCTAAGACAAGATCAAGAGTCAGATGTGACTGAGCCATCCAGGTGCCCCAGTCACTTTAATTTTAATAATGACCCTATCATCCAACCATAACCTACCTTCCTACCTGCCAAGCATTATCCATCCATCTGCCACAGTGAAGAGATTTACTGCAGTGAATGGGGAGGATGAAGAATGTAGCAGGAGGAAACAACAGTTTTCTGAATCAACAGACTCTTCTCATTCATTATAATGATTAATTACATTTCTGCTGAAGTTACTAAGTAAGGTAATCAATCTTAGGTCCAATGTTTAGAGGAATACAAGAACAACGACTAGTTAGATAATAGTCATATCAAGGGCACAGATGAAAGATTATCATTTCTCTTTAAAAATATCTAATATTAATAGGTATGTAAATGAATATGAAATGGCAAAGTAACAAATTTATTTGACTGATGAACTCCAAGTAATGATAAACTCAATAGGAAAGGGCAAGTACCTTAGTCATCTAACTCAACTAATTAGTATTCAGTTGGTAGAAGATCTCACTGTTCTGGGTCAGCCTGACATGATCAATGATTTGCTAAGATCAAATATTTAAACTACTTTTAAATACAAGCACATAATTCATTAATTTTCTAAAACACAAACATTTTCTCATTTCATAGGTCTTCAAAGTATTATGATCTTAAATTTTTTAAGTTGTTAAGTGCTTATAATTACGAATCGTACTTTAAAACCACTTCCTGCTTCCTCTTCCCACCCTCCCCCACCCCAACCCAAAGAAAATCTTAAGAAATGAGCGGAAAAAAAACTTCCAGGATAAAGACTATATGTCCATGGGAATTATTAGCATATTAATAAACTGTGTTTCTATTTACACTTCCATATCCAGAACCAATTGTTAGTTATTTTAAAGGAGAGGTTATGCTTTAATTAACAGCTCTTAAGAAATGCAACCAGCTTTCATTTACTAAGTGTGTTCAAATTTCACAAGTCGTATTTTACAGCAAGGATTCCAGTTCATCCAATACTTTTATGTGATGACACCTCTGATCAAGGAAGGAAGTCTTTAAAAGACCTTAAATAATTAGCTTCCAGAACAGAAGCCAACAAAAAGCATAATTAATGAGTAAGCGGATTATTGCTAAAGCATTAACATCCATGCACATTTTAAATGAGGGAGAGTGAAGGGGACAGAAACACCTTGGGTATTTAATATTTCTAACTCTGATATTTCTAAAGACTTCACAAACTTGAGAGTTTAGGGAAAACATTTATTTCTGTAACATTGTGTTGCTGTCCCTCTGTCCTTTCCATATTCTCTCCTGTCTGTGCCTTGGGACTCCAGGAAGACTGAATTTGATCATGTGCCTGGAGGAACATAAAATCCCATAGTGGCTGCTTACTTTCCCATCATCCTAATCATTTGCCTACTTACCGTTCTCCTGCACAGCTGTATCTCCTCCTCCCTCTATCTACTTGAACCATAACCTAGGCGAGGGCTGAGTTTAAAGTGATGCTTTCCCCAGACTAGGTATGTGCGATTCCCAAGGTCCAGCAGTGCCCTTTAGCTTCAACAGGAATTCTCCTGGTCCCTAAAGGCCTCGCTGCCTTCCAAGTGTTCCTTGGCATGCGCTTCACTATTGCTCATCACACTGCCATAGCTCCCCTGCCTTGAAAACAGACAAAAATTCATGTTGACCTGAGGGATTTAAAGAAGAGGGCTCCTCTGAAGCCATCTCTTCCCCAACAGGATTCTCTTCTGCCCAGTAATTTTCAGAGTGGCCTCTAGAGGTAGTGCCTGGGTACTTCACTATCTAACCTGGCAGTCTGATACCAAGGGGAAGAGAAGTCAGACCCTTGGGAAGACTGAAGCATTTAGGACAAAAGATCATTGGAACTTTACCTGACCTTCACACACATAGGCCTATTAAACCATCTGCCTAGTACTTCTTGTTATTTTAGCACCAGGAACAACTTCAGGAAAACAGGAGGGAGTTTCTCTCTACTTACTATGTATAAAAAGAAATTGTGAAATTAGAGCGCTTTATCAACCTCCTGTTTTAGAATAATTAAATACTTTAGAATAATTAGATATTCCTTAAAACAACAACAGAGATGTTAACCAAGAGATCAGGCCAGCCTTCCCAAAAAAGAGAAAAGTCTGTCCTGAAAGCTTTTGCTCCTAACCAATTGCCGGTTTGGCACTAAGCCAAGTGAACTGGAGTGGGGGAAGCATCAGGAAACTATAAACATAAGGCGAGCATAAGCACAACATAAATACCCTCTTTGAAAAATGCCCAGTTTTATCCAAAACCCAGTAATTTGGAAAAGCACAACTTCTTTTCCCAAAGGAAAAAGCAGTATAAGTACTTACAGTGTCATGAGACTTATCCTTGACATCATAGACTGTTAGCTTTATTTTGGTCTCCTCATAAATGGGATACTCCGATGGGAATGTGACACCAGTCAAAAACAGTGGGTCTCTTGTTCCCTGTAACAGCAGCAGCAGACAACTTTGATTCAATAAAGCAGCAACTGCAGCCGGCAGCATGCAGTGACACATGAGAGTGCAGAAAGTGTGTCTGAGTCTATTTGTTTTTCTAGGAAATAGTTCTGTTGGAAGAGAGATCTGGATTGCCAAATGATGCTCATGGGCGACAGGAGTCCTAGGGCCCCAGATACCGATATAGCAGTTGATAGTAAACGGTACTACATCAGTGTCAGAGCTGCTAATAGTCTGGAAAAACAACTTATTTTCATTATATGCAGAACCCTTCTTTAGGGTCAGTTGTCAGTCCATCTGGAACACATTTAATGGATTTAACATGGACTTTATACAAAAATCTAAGATATTGACTGATCAAATTAAAATGAAGCTATTTTCTCATAAAATACCATTTACTTCCTTTCTGTAATGATTCAGCTGAAAGCCAAGCTTTGATAATGTCCATTTGTTTTGAGATGTTCAGCTGTTTTTTTTTTCAGACCAATTTGAAAACTAATGAAAGAAACTTCATATGGTGGATTTGAGGCTATAAAATTACTAGCTCAGGATACACCACACAGGATATATTTCAATGCCTCAGAATTCATTTTTAAAGAGCTGACATCCAACATTAAGTTTGACATCTATATTTAAATATGTGTATTGCCAAATATCATTGAGATGTTTGCTACGATTCTGTAAACCAGATGTCTATGAGCTTCTAAAAGCTCAAGTTATTCACTTATTCATTCATTCTTTCTCCTTGTATTCAACAAACACTACTTCTTGTTAGAAGCTCTGCGTTAGACACATTAGAAAAACATAGCCCCAAATAGCTATGGATGTTCAAACATAAACATCTGAAATGTGTCAAAAAATTTCTTTTAAGTTTCGGCAATGTTGTAAAAATAATTAAATTGGAACAATACTTAAATTTTTTTTCATAGAATGAACAATTTTATAATTTAAGTCAAGTTTTTGTTATACAAATGAGGCTATTTTTGTTAATTCAACTACAGCATTAACTACGAATTATATCAGCATTGGAACCTAAAGTTTCCAAAGGGAAGATTCAAGGTTCTGTGCAGGATCTGGATCATTCCCATTAGAGAAATGAGTAGAGTTCAGTCTGAATCATTTATTCCAGCAGCCAGGCACGGGTCAGCATTGAGAAAACCCGGTCTGGGGTAGGCTCCTTAGTTCCTTAGAGAGAAATTCCTCATTCAAAACAGACAGGGCTTACAAGTCTGAAAAAAAAATCATGCAGAGCTAAGGACTTTAAAGTACACTTTCTTTAGTCCCAGATATTCAAGTATCTCTTATTCACTAAGTTCATGAAATATGTGTGACGAGAACAAAATAATCAGAAGGGAAACACTTCCTCTTTTGAATCTAATCCAATACAATAACAAGTTTCCTCTCGACACATTTTGAATGTATATTAGTAACAATAAATGTAAATAGGAAATCTCTCATCTGATGAGTAATATTTACACCCTTTAGCTAGAAACTTTACAGTTAATGAAATTAATCATCTACCTTTCTTTGAAAAATATCATACTTTAAAAACACACACACAAGTAGCAGAGAATATAAAGTTTCCATGGCCAGACTGAAGAACATAGGAAAAAACAGAAAGGGCAAAAACACTTAACTTCTCGGGGTACCTTATGACTCTCCTTTTTTCCCCAAAAAAGTAAATATTCATTCAATTTAATTTAAAAATCTATTTTTTTCCCTACTTGGTGTTCTATTTAAGGATTCAAAGTGGGATTTTTTTTTCTATTTACTAAAGAGACATAAGGTCTTTTATGAAAAAAGGCAAGATCTTCTCTCATCTGTTTATGCTGGTAAGTTACCAATGCATGCTTAATAACCTCAGGTATGTTTTCTTAAATGACAGAGGGTAAGTAACATAGCATATCTAGAGGCCAGAAGCTGACTTATCTCAGCTGTTTGCTCAAATCCAGAGAGAGGCTGAGAGAGCGAGAGCAGAGCAGAGAAAAGCAGGCACGCAGTGAGCTCACTCACCTCCACGATTTCCGTGCTTGAGTATCTTGTCAGACCCTGCTCCGCGGGGTGGATTACTGAGATCTGCACCAGTGTATTCAGCTTTCGATCACGAACAGGAGCCACAAGATCCTTGCATGCTGGCAATGACAGAGAAAAGAGAAAGAAAAGAAACTAACACCATGTCTCAGGGAAAACTTCTCTCTGAGTTGAAGTAACTTAGCGACAGCGCTGAATGAAATCTCCCGGGACGCAGGCTGATTTTTTTTTTTTTTTTTTTTTTTTTTTTACAGAGGAAGTCCCTTGGAAGTACCTTACAGAAATAGGAAGTCACGTGTTGCAGAGCTGAATTGAGAGTTCATTTCCACTGACCACATTTGCCGCTCCTGCTAGTCTGGACAGCCCTGGGATCGCAGCTCTAATGTGTGACTATGCACACACAGCTCAGGGACTCTAGGGACTTTAATTAGTCACTAAACCCTGGGCTTTAAATCACACTGCCGGACAAAGTAAGCTGAGCTGGGCTATATCCGGGAAACCTTACGCTGTTCCTTATTGACGTTGGCTGGATTGGTTCAAATGTACCAGTGCGCCCTGGGTCCTTACCTGTCTATTGGCTAAAGCTGGCCTCCTACAATCATACACAGTTTCCCATAGAAACTGGGAAGAGATGCTACACTGCCAAATCAGCACACAAGCCACAAGCCAGAGGCAGAGGAGGGGTTAAAAACACCTTCTGGCTGGGATACCAGCCAAGTCTGGGAAGCAGAAATGTGGAATAAGGATGGGTTAATTCTTGCCCAGGGGCAGCAAACTAAGAACTTTCCCTTGAGACACCAGGCTCAGATTACAGACTCTCATCACCATACCATATTTACCTGAATATCTTCTCCTCCCACATATCATCCCCACAACATGGGGAGGGGGGTGGAATCAAAACTACATTCCTTTTCAGCATGTCCACCATCTCTCACAGTGCTTTCTCCCCTGGCTCTGAAACAGTATTTTCACCACCTGGGGCTGGACGGCTAAGTATGATGCAGAGGGTCCTCTCCAGAAGGGGTTCAAGTTATGCTCAGTTGGAGGCCTAAGGCTAGCTGGGGGAAACTGGGCTCCAGGTCCATGACGACCGTGTGCTGGGCTCTATACCATCCTTGCCCCGCACTTCTGACTGGTGCTGACTGGTACAGGAAGGCACAGGAGGACGGATGCATTTAACCTATGTTGTGTCACTGCAGCAATTTACAGGACCTTCATCCACTGGGACAGAAGCACTACGGTTTAAATCTGAAACTTGAAAGCGGAGGAAATTATAAATGTAATTATCACCTTCCAGTGGCTCACTGATCATCTGATTTATAGAAGCAGAATGGGATAGAGGAAAAAGCAGGAGCTTTGGAACCAAACAGGACTGATTTTTACCCAATTCTACCAGCACAGCAGTACTGGGCAAATTATTTGCCTTCTTAACTCTTCTTGCCAGACTTTGAGATTCTTTTGTTCCTGTATGGTATTTTGTCATGATGTTTCCTTACTTAAACCACCTCTATTTAAATGCCTCTATCAATACAGGAGAGGTCAGGAAAGCGTGTGTGGAAAACATAATAGCTACAATTTAAGACCTCCCTGTTTTTGAAGCATTTTGTTCATTATCTTTTTATTTCTCAAAACAGAACTTGGACTTATTATTTCAGTATCACATATTAAAAACTAAAGGCTTAGAAATATTAATTGCTCACATTGACATTATATCATTCCCCATTCATTCCATTCTTTTAAAAAATTGTTTTTATTTTTATTTATTTATGTTTTTTTTACAAATAGTTTATTGTCAAATTAGTTTCCACATAACACCCAGTGCTCATCCCCACAAGTGCCCTCCTCCATGCCCTTCCCTCCCTCCCTCCCACATCCATCAGTCCTCAGTTTTTGTCAGCATTCAAGAGTCTCTCATGGTTTGCCTCTCTCCCTTCCCCCCACCATTTCCCCCCTTCTTCTCCCCCTTGGTCCTCTGTTAAGTTCCTCCTAATCCTCCCATACGTGCAAACATATGATATTTATCCTTCATGGATGGACCTTGAGGGTGTTATGCTGAGCAAAATAAAAAAAATTTTTAATGTTTATTTATTCTTGAGGGGGGAGAGGGGCAGAGAGAGAGGGAGACACAGAATCCTAAGCAGGCTCCAGACTCTGAGCTGTCAGCGCAGAGCCCAATGCGGGGCTCAAACCCACGGGCTGTGAGATCATGACCTAAGCTGAGGTTGGATGCCTAACCAACAGAGCCACCCGGGTGCCCCAGTTCCATTTCTTTTCTTGGCATCCTGAATTCCTCTCCTGTACAACGACACCTACCTTTGGAAGACCCACTACCATAATTCTTTACTGTCCAACCCAAGAGATCTGCAGTTTTAGGAAATACTGATGTGAGGTTTCAATGTCAACATATCTCCGGAAGGGGAAAAAAAAAAAAAGCTAGATTTAAACTTTCTTGTTCTTTAGTGGTTACTTTGATCATTTCCTCTACTTGCCTTACAATCTATTTAACTTCATCACTCATTTGTTTGGTTATCTGTTCAGGGTGTCCAGCTTTCTCTCCATTTACTGATTGATGTTGACTACACCTGTCCTTGGATTTTAAAGCTGGAGTTTGTTTGCTTCAAACACATGCATCTTGCCCTCTTTCTGCTTGCAGCCTCATCTCTGCCTTATGAGCTTTTGACACCTTTGTTCAAAATGAGTTACTCCTTTTCAGATTTCTTATCAAGTTGACTGTGGGCTGTGGTTATTTCCCAGAAGTGAGCAGCTATTCTCCGTTTTATCAGAGAAACACTCAGACTTACTCCTAATAAAAACAGAGAAAGTCTTCATTAAACTGAAGTGTTCTTTCCAACCCAATTTGCAGATATCCCAATACCGAAGAAGTAAAAACAACAGTAATGGCACTTTGGTTCCTTTATATTCCATATCTAAAAACAAGCACAAAAAAACAACTACTAACGTCATACCTTGGGCAGTACCTATCTCTTTTCTTCCCAAAAGCCCAGGGAATTTTCTGTTCCCTAATACTTATGCTGTAAGATATCATGGAAAGACCCGGAGACCAGGCAGAATTCCTGAGCTGTATTCCTAGATTCCTTGTTTTCTATTTCTGTGACATTAAGTCACAAACTCTTGAACACTTGATTTCTTCATCTGTTTACCTATCTCTTGGGGTCTAGTTGAGAAAGGCATTAGTGCCTTTTTATGAATGGATTTTTCTATGTAAAACTTATCAATATCATTATACTAATATTTACCAATATTCATATCAATATTTACCAATATTTAGTGTTTTCTCATTCTGTAAAATGGTTTTTTTATTGACTCAATCTTATTCACATAGCTCCTTGAAGGCTGTCACCAGGTCCAATATTTCCTTGTAAATACCAAGCCAGTAGGTGAGTCACTGTATTTCAGATCGGGAAACCCATACACACCATGCATCTATATATCCTGAAACTGTCCCACTGGAGGGTTGATAAATGATGAATGATTGGAGTGCTTCATGGAGATATTACTCATTTGGCCACTATAAAGTTTAACCTGCATAGGAGTTATTTGATAGCCAATAAAGAAGCCTAAAAATTCTATTTGTCAATCTTCCAGACATACTTGCCACATCCCATTACCCAAACAAAACTCTGCTCTGCATACATGGCCTTACTTGACCTGTAAGACTAAAAGAGTGCATTAAGTTTTGCTCCTGTTGTTCTGTTTTATTTCTTTAAGAATTTCTTGAATCAAATGCGCAGTTAATGAATGTCTCTCTGCAATCACACGCGCACACACACACACACACACACACGTATATATTTTTTTATTTCTTCCTTTTTACTGGTTTTGTTTTAGACTGAGCTATTTAAAAGTATTCCCAAAGTCCAGAAGAGTTTAAATACACAAGCTGCTACTAGGTTGGGATTCAAATGTGCTTATGTCCACTGAATAGACTGCTTTATTTTTTTACCAAAAAGGGAAAAAATAGCTATATAGAAGTAATGAAAAAAGCCTATAATTTGAAACTTGTCTTTATAAAAATAAAATAGCGTTGAGCTACTATTTTATGTTTCTGCTAACTTTGCTATAGTAATTAGCAACATGAGGGTTTACTTTCTATTGCCAGGGATTTGAATGAAACTGGCGTCCTCTGCTCCGATTTGTACAGGAGTCAGACAGCCCTCAGGCTATGGTAGGGAATCCTCAGTAGAAGTGTAAGGATAAAAAATAATGGAGCATCAATATCTCAAGGGAGGGCTGGGCACTGAGCAAACTGGAAAGCCTATGCTGTGTTAGCAGAGGGAAACTCTATTTAAATTCATTGCCCAAAGAAATGAAAGCCCACTGTGGCTTGATCTGAGGATTTGTCCAGAGCTTGAAATCCCAGTCACTGTGTAGGCTAATGCTCTAAGAATCACACAACAAATATATCTGTGACTAGATTTGGCCTAAGGACCAGAAGTTTCTAACCTATGGTCTAGATGCTCAAAGCTACTAGTTGGATTCTTGAGACAGCACAAATCATTTTTGCTCCTGTAGTTCTAATATTTGAGGTTCCAGGAGTTAAGGGGGGCAGTGGTCTTCAGAGTTCTTGTTAAGTTAAATATTCTCTCTACCCAGAAATAGTTTTCATAAAATATCTATTTTTGTTTCATTCAGCTATCATTTCTAAATCATGTCAAGTCTCTTGAATCCATAGATTCTTTCCGTCATTCTAGCTAACTTTGGCTGGAAGACTAAAACTGTCTCTTGACTCTTCTATCAGAGAGTTCAGTCACAGCAATAACCATCTGACACAGAACACAACTGTTTGTTTAAGTGCCTTCGAATTCAACAGCATTGGCCAAATCCTAAGGTTCTAAGACCCGCATTGGATATGGAGTCCACAGATAAGCAAAGGCGCCTGCCACAGGATTTCACAAGAGGAGCGGCATGAGCCACAGGGCAGTGTGAATTCACAGTCAACTTCAAGCATCTACCCCTTTCCTCTTAAGAACTCTTTCTTCTTTGAAGTCAGGTCATTTTTCTTGCTTCACACCATTTTATCTATTTTCTCGTCATTCACTATTACTGGCATCGAACAAAGTTTATCCTCTTTCCTTCAGAA